TTGTTTTAACCACTAAGTGTTGGGGTACTTTGTCACACAGGTCTAGTAACTGGAAGACCCTCCACCACACCTTGCTAATGAGGGACTGTTCTCCCCATTTTATACATAAGGAAACTGAGTCTCGCCTACTAAAGTGGAATCAAGATTCAGCGCCAGAAGTGTGGGGCTCTTACTCATTAGGCCTGGGTCACAGGGGTCACCTCAACACTCAGCCTTGGGTCCCTTCTGGTCTATCAGCTGCGTGTGGCTCTGGGTGTAGGCGGTGGAAAATGGAGGTGGGGAGCAGCTGACAGACTGTTCTCTGGGTGGAAGTGCTCATGGGGACACAACCATTCTTGCCCCACGGATTCACCCCTGGACCTCTTGGGGACACTGGCAGATTATCCCCAGGACTGTCAGCAGCCCCAGAGCTTTCTGCTAGGACCTCACGACGCTGTCATCAGTGGCCCCAAGAGACACCCAGGTCATGTCCTCAGGGCTGTGAACAGCACAGTACAAGAGGCTTTGGGTGTGCTTTAAGCTGCCAGGCTTGCCCCCCTCATTTATCACCCTGGGTGTTGAAATGCGGGGAGCTGAACAGGGAGGGGGCTAGGGAGGTGCCTAGTGACTTCACCCTCTTCTCCGGACCCAGATACCTGAGCAGCCCCAGATCGGCAAGTGACTCTCCAGGAATGGTCCGTGTACCCTGCCTTGGTTCCCAGGTTCAGAAAGATCGGTTCTTCCAGGAAAACAGATTCCAGCATGTGACTCTGCACAAGTTGCCCCCATCTCTGGATACGCTTTCTCACGAGCTAAATGCAAGATACGGGTCCATTGCACACTGGATGTGCCGATGCCCCACTGGGTCGGAATGGAAGCTGGTTCCCTTGGTGAGTGGCCAAGATGGGGAAGCAAGCGGGCAGGTGTTTTATGCCCATCCATACCCACCTCCCTCCTGGTCACTCCACGCCGGGTTTCCTTGAGAACCACCCTGTCCTTCCCTCAATCCCTTTGGGTCCCATGAGGCTGACCCTACTCCTGTCACCAGGTTTCTGCCTCAGGTGCTTGGTGAAGGCTGGGCAACCACCAGTGGTGGGAGAATCCAGAATCCAGGAGCAGCTTGTCTGGGGCAGAGTAGGGGAGTGAAAAATGGGGAGTTGTGTTTGAGACCTTGAGGGTCATGTCCAGATGGCAGATGGCTCTGTGTCTGCGGCTCGGAAATGAGATCGGGCCATAAATGTATGCACAGAACACACGGGTCACCAAAAGCCCTTCCAGGCCCAAAGGTGAACGCTGCCTCAGGCACGGGCCCACGGGCTCCCGGAGCCTGCCAGCTGAGCCCAGGTGGCGCCTTCCAGGTTCCTTCTCTGGGCCCCGCCACCAGCCCCGCCACCAGCTCCGCCCGACACACGGCAATAGCTGTCCCCATTTCCCTGAGAGCTGGGAGGCCACTCTGCGTGACTTCTGTCTCCAGGTTGGGCTAATGCCCAAACCACCTCGGACGCTGCCCGAGGGCCCTGTGTTTAAACGTCCTCAGCAGCTTGACAGTTTATGAACTTTCTCTAGAACTTGCCTCCTAGAGAGCAAGGCCTCCGGGAGACGCGGCCCGAGCCTGTCTCCAGCTGAGGAGGAGGAAGCTGGCCCAGAGCAGCCGGCCGTCTGCCCAAGGCCGCCCAGGCCCGTGTCAGCCAGGCTTGCCCCACTGGCGAAGCCCATGGTGGCTCCACGGTGTCCTGGCAGGGAGAGCCAGGCACAAGCGTTGCATTTACTCATTCATCCACTCATTCGTTCACCCATTTGGCAGGTATTTACTGAGAACGCACTGGATAGCAAATGCTGGGGCAAGCAAAGGGATGAGTAATTACACACGTAGTTGACATCTGAGCACTTCAGGGGGGGTTCAGAGGAAGGGCTGGGGCTATTGGAGGGCTCTGATTTCAAACTTGAACAGGGCCAAGGGGCCCATGTGAGCATGTGTCAGCAACATTTAAGCTGAAAGAAAGAAAGAAAGAAAGAAAGAAAGAAAGAGAAAAATGAAGGGGAGTTCTCCTGCCTGTAGCACTTCCCAGAGATGGCCGCCCACCCCACCCCCTGAAAGCTCTTCCTGCGACAATGACACCCTTCCATAGACGGGGGGTGGGGTCTATGTCCCCTGCCTCAAACCTGGGAAGACCTTGACCGATGGAATGTAGAAATTCCACTGAATGACTTCTGAAGCTAGCTCCCAAAAGGTGACGTAACTCCCACCAGCTCTCTGGGCACATGCACCTCTGTAGGCTTGAGTGGTCGTGTGAGAAGCCCGGCTGCCTGAAGCCACCAAGCTCGGGACACCCCCGGAGGACACCATGACCGGGGGTGCCCCAGAGGACACCATGCCACGGTGCTGACGGGTGAGTTAAAAAAGGCTTCAAGATGTCCCCAGCTCAGCCGGTATCTGACTGCGACCCCAGGAGAAACCCCAGCAGACCGCCCGGCAGACCTGCTCCCATACTCCTGACGCACAGAAACCCTGACAGGTCATAAACGGCTATTTCAGTTTCAAGCCACCGAGCGTTGGGGCAGTTGTTGGCAGCCACAGAAACCGGAAAACCGATGAGAGGTCCGGCAAGAGTGGGTGGGCAGCAGTGCATCAGGAGAAAACGCAGCACGTGCAAAGGTCCTGAGGTGAGAAGTGGCGCTGGAACGAAGATGCAGAGGTTGGCAGGGCTGTCTTCCAGGCTTTCTAGAACTCTTCTTTGGATCCCATCTGCATTTCCTCTTTCTTTTTTTTTTAATCTTTTTTTTAATTGAAGTTCGTTGTGTGTGCTTTTATTTTATTTTTTTTTTTAAGATTTTATTTATTTTTTAGAGAGGGAAGGGAGGGAGAGAGAGAGAGAGAGAGAGAGAGAGAGAAACATCAATGTGCGGTTGCTGGGGGCCGTGGCCTGCAACCCAGGCGTGTGCCCTTACTGGGAATCGAACCTGCGACACTTTGGTTCACAGCCCGCGCTCAACCCACTGAGCTACACCAGCCAGGGCTGTATTTCCTCTTTCAAACAGAGAGAGCCCAGTGTAATTTCAGGACCCGTGTCTATCCGAGTCTGTGCAAGGAAGGAAATTACATTCATTCATTCACTCTTTCCACCAATAAGACTAATGGCATGGCCTGTGCCAGGAGCTTCCCACCATCATTTTGGTGGCCCGAGAGGAGGTTTAATACTCTCCCTGGTACACAGATGAGGAGACTGGGGCTGAGGGGGCTGCTGTCCTTGCACCCTGCCCTGGGAGGGTAAGTGGGAGAAGTAGGCTGGGCTATGGGGCGAGCCTGGAGGCGAAGCCTGTTCTCAGTCCTCAGTTCAGGCCAAGCACCTCCAGGCTGGGTGCCTTAGGCAGATCCCTCTCCTACCATGGGGTTCAGTTTTCTCCTCTGTAAAATGGGAGGATAACAACGCTGGCTTCATTGGGATTATCACAAAGCTCAACCTGCTCCACCCCAGCAGGCTTTTTCTCCGGGCTCACCTGTGCCCCCTTCATGATAAACTCTCAGCCCCTGTGAACACGCTTCCTCCTCGCAAGGCCGGAGGTGACAGTCGAGGCAGAGGGGAGACCGGGGCCCTTGGCACCCGGAAGCTCAGTGAGCGCCTGATAACCAGCTGCCTTTCCTCTTCCTGCCCGAGCCCCGCACACCTGGTTGAACGTTCTCAGTCCCCCGGATGAGCCCCTGTTTGCCACTGTCCCAAGCAGCCTGCCCTGTGCAAACCTCAGACAGGATTTGGGAACACAAAGGGAAAAAAACAATACCAGACCGCCGGACCTGCCCCCACTCCGGGAAAAAGGACAGAGAACGCCAGAAGGCAACGCACCCTGGAGAGCCCTGACCAGCTCCGGGGCACCTCCTGCCCAGGGATTGTGTCCCCCAAGCCCTTGCAGTGGGGTGGGGGAGGGGAGGCAGACAACAACTGTGACACTGACAGCAATTGAAAGGAATTACTTGGCAGTCACCCGGCGCCAGCACTGCTTTAACTCGCTTCATTTCCACCCTGCGCCATGGACGGCATTACAGGGGTGGGCAAAAGGAGCTTCACAGTGGCTTGTATGGGAAAATACACGCAGGTTGTAATTACTACAGTAGCTTTATTCACTCGGTGTTTCGTGTACTCACAACTGTAAACCTACTTGTGCACACCCCTGTGTTTTCCTCAGTTTACCGAGAGGAGTAAGAGACACTGAGAGGTGAAGTGACTCGCCCAGAGTTGCACACCTGGTTGGCCGGGGAGCCAGAATTTGGAGCGGTAAGCAGGTAAACGAGTAGATCAAAGATCCCTTAGTGTCCATGCTGAGGATTCACATATGTTTCTTGTTCAAGAGACAGGGTGAACCCAGATGGATGACCAGGATGTGGAAACCCGGAGAGGCGAAGCCGCCGCCTGAGGTCTCAGGCCCGCAGTTGGGGAAGGGAGCTGGAGCCAGCTGCCTCTGACTCGGGGGCTGCATCCCACGTTCTTCTCCCCACCATCGACCTCCCCACCTCCAGACAAAGGCAGCCTCCAGGCAGTCTGCCCCAGGCCCGGACGACGTCTCAGCACTGTCGCAGGAACTGAGCCAGGGCTACCTCAGGGTGCGACATCCCTGGAGGCCCGAGGGAGAAGGAAGGACAGAGCCAGCTCCCTGGTGAAGCCACTGCCCTGGCCTTGTAAGGATTTTCTGTCTCCTGAAACAGCTTGGACCGGCTGCCTCCTCCCCGGCCTCCTCGCTCCCCTGCCCCCGCCCTTTACTCTCTCTGGGGGGCCACTTCACTGGTGTTCCAAGTACTAACAGGGAAGCAGAGCGGGAATGTGCTGGTGTGGGGGGGTGGAGAAAGGGAAGGCATGGGGTGCTGAAATTTGAGATTCCAGCCTTAGCTGGAGAGGCTGGAGGGAGAGACAGAGACAGGAAGAGTCCAGTTGCGTTTGGTTTTCTGAAGCAGGCAACGCTGGCGTCCCTGAGTTTGTGTATGCTGGAGCCTGCGTGTGCACACGTGTCTCAGTGCTGTTTTCGTGCCTGCACTCTGGCTGGGAGGCCGGGCCCCCTCTGGCCAGTAAAAGGGCTCAGCAGCCCTGAGGCAGAGAAGGGCCAGAGCACAGACAGGGTAGTAAGCGGGCGAGTGAGGAGGAAGGAAGGGAAAGAGGGAAGAATAGAGGTGAGGGAGAGTCCGGAGGGGGAGCACGAGGCGGTGGGAGGAGCTGAGCAGCTGTGGCATTTGGAGCAAGTATAAATAGCTGTCTGGGTGGAGCTTGGCCAAACAGGGGTTTGCAGCTGCAGCAGCTCTGAGGGCAGACCTGCCCACTGGTGGCCGCAGTGGGTGCCTCCTGGGCTCGGAGCGGGGCCCTCTGGGCTCTGACTGGACACCTATCACCCTCCCCACATCTTTGGATGCTCTTCCAGCCAGCCATGCTGCTAGGTGGCCTCCTCCTCACTGTGGCCGCGATGACCGTGGCCCAGCGGAGGGGGCAGGAGGCGAGAGGGCGCCGCCGGGCGCACCGCGTCCAGTACGGCCAGTGCAGCTACACCTTCGTGCTGCCGGAGCCTGAGCCCTGCCCTCCAGAGCCTGAGGCCTTCAGGGCCTCCAACAGCCTCCAGAGGGACTCGCCAGCCTCGGCATTGAACCTCGGGGACTGGCCCACCAAGCGGGTGCAACGCCTGGAGAAGGTGCTGGAGAACAACACGCAGTGGCTGCGGAAGGTACCACTGGGCCTGCCGGGGTGGGGGGGTGGTAGGCAGGGGCTGGCAGCGGGAGTGTCCACCTCAGAGGTCTTCCCTGGGCACAGAGGGCCCAGTGATGGGACCCTTGTCTCTGAATTGTACAGAGTGAGGTAATGAGGCCCAGAGAGGGCCAGCAATGGGCCTAAGGCCACATAGCAAGACGGGCAGGGTCAGAACTGGAAACTGGACTCCCTGTCATTCATTCATTCACCCGATGAAAACTGGCTGACAGCTGCCATGGGCCAGGCCCTCCCCAGTGCTGGGCTACAACTGCAAAGAGCACATCCCCTTCAGGACCAGTGGGGATAAGAGGCATAAAAAGATGAATGATACAAATCTCCTATGTCTGATGGTGAGCCAAATGAAGGAGGGAAAAGGCAAGAAGTGATCAGGGATGGGTATTTGAGGTCAAATGAGTCGAGAGATGACATTTGAACCCTGAGGACAAGTCAAGTGAAAGAGCAGCCCATGCAGGTCTGCAGTGGGGGCAGGGTGGGGGCGCCTTTACGGCAAAGGGACCAGCAGGGGCGAAGGCTGTGAGGTGGGAACGCAGTGGCGGTGCCTGGGGAATGGCAGGTTGGCCAGTGTGGCTGGAGCAGAGAAGGAGGGGGACACAGGGGCCGGAGAGGTAAGGGGAAGGCAGTCCATGCTGGAAGGACTTTGGCTCTTCCTTCGAGACTCACGAGAGCCATTGCAGGTTTGGAGCAGGGAGACACACACCCGAACAGGTTCGAACGGAACAGACTGTGGGGGGCAGGGTGGAGGTCTGAAGCCCAGTGAGGAGGCTGCTGCAGCCGCCAGGCAGGAGGTGATGGAGGCCCGAAGCAGGACAGGGCTGCGGGGCAGGTGTCCTAGGTCGGATTCTGGTATATTCTGAAAGGGGAGCGAACAGGCTCTGCTGACGGACTGGGTACAGGGTGGCAGAGATCGAGGATTTGAGGACACCACCCTCAAATTTGTGGCCCAAGGCCAGGGCCACTCTGGCATCTCCTGTCATTCAGCAAGCATGCTGCACACCTGCTCTGTGCCAGACCCTGGAGAGTCACCGAGGTACAGAGTGAATGAGGCGGGCTTGGCCCCGGGCTAGGCATGGGGGCAGGAAGGGCACCCTGCAGGGTCCAAGATGGGCCTGTCCAGACCCCTAAGTAGGCGCTACCAAGGGAGAGAACAGGCCCCAGGCCCCAGGCCCAGGTGACAGTCTGACTGACGGCTCGGGGTGGAGGGAGTAAACTGATCCCTGGAGCTTTCAAGTGTGTCAAACCGCAGACAAGCAGCTCATAGACTGAGGTAAGAGCAGAGGAGGCAAGAATGTTCCCCGAGGTGCCTGTCCAAGGAACAGTCCCTTCTTACCCCATGGTTGCCAAATCGTTCAAATCATGTGCCCAATCAGCAACGTCTACTCCCTAATATGTGCGTATTTATTTAATATTTATGTATGGGCATATATATTAAGGAAATACCCATAAGGCGACACAAATGAAAATGAACATTAAAAGGATGACATAGGGTCTTGGCCAGAATGGCTTAGTTGGTTGGGTGTCATCACAGAAACCAGAAAGTTGTGGGTTCGGATCCCACTCAGTGCACTGTGTGGGTTGCAGGTTCGGTCCCCAGTCCAGGAGCGTGCAAGAGGCAACGGATTGATGTTTCTCTCTCACATCCATGTTTTTCTCCGCCTTCTTCTCCTTCCCGTCCCCTCTGCCTGGAATCAATAAAAGGAAAAGCAAGAGGACATATAAAATCATGTACATTGAAGTTCTGGCAGCTTCCTCCTGATTTCCAAAGCATTGCCTTGTGCACACTGTGACTTGATCCACCCTCAAGGTGGAGAGGCTGCACTATGCCTATCTAACCAACCTGCTTCATGCACACATTTGCACACATGTTTGTGCACACACGTTTGTGCACACACGATGTGAACCCTTGTTGCATTCCTGCCCGGACCCTCTGTCTCCTCAGCCCACGCTCACCCTCTCCCCACAGTTCTCTGCCCGCCAGCCCTGCCACCGCCTGCCCTGCAACACTTCCAGCCTCCACCAGCCCACCCGCAGGCCCCCCTCCAGGGAGCCCTTGCCCTCATACTCTGGAGCTGACCCTTTGGGGGCTCCAGGCCACCTGAAGTCTGTGGGTGCCCCTTCAGGCACCTGTCTCCAGTCCCATAAGGATTATTCCAAACCTCACCCTCCTAGGGCCTCCATCTGGAACCCCACCCGTCCTCTCGCCAGACCGTGGAGCTCCCACTGCAAGAAGAATGGGGGCCCAGGAGAGGTGACCCTCAGCAGCCTGCCCCACCCCTGCAGGTTCACCTCCAGTCCCTGAGGCCTTTCTCTGGCTCAGAGAGAGGGGGTTCCTGCAGGGGCCAAGGCCACTCAGTCTTCATCATATTCTTGATAAATGGAGTTGTCAAGTGGAAAAATTGATGGAAACCGTCTCATTAACAAACACTCGTCTATAAAGAATGTGGTGCTAGTTCTTTCCCAACCTCCCGGCCTCACCATGGACAGCCACCTGCGTCTCCCACCTAGACAGTTGTCTCCACCAGGGTCCTGGACTCCCAGTCTCCACCCTGGCCCACCCCCTTGGTCTTTTCTGCACTCGGCAGGGAGAGGGGTCCTATTCAGTCCCCAGTTAGATCCTGTCCCTCCTCTGCCCAGAGCCTTCCCAGGGCTGCCATCTCTTCAGAATAAGAGCAAAAATCCTTACTTCCTGGACACCTCTCCCCTAGACAGCCACACATCTCACCCTTGACCTCCTTCACATCTCTGCTTAAATGTCAGCTCCTCTGAAAGACCCTCCCTGTCCGCCCTGTTTGAAATAGCCACCCTCCTGCCATCCCTTCCCCTACCTTCAGTTTTTCCCTTAGCACTCATTACCCACCTGTTCTTAAAAGCATTTCCTTTGGTCTGTGAGCTGCAGGAAGGCAGGGAATGGCGCTTGTCTAGTTCCCTGCTGGGTTCCCCAGGCGGAGAACGGGCCTGGCTCATCCAGCGTTCTCAGAACTTGCCTCCTGTTTGCACAGCGTTCCTCTGTTCCTCTGATCTCTCAGGTTACTCGTGCTCCTCCCCTTACAGCTCCGCTGGGAATGTGGGTGTTTCCCAGGAAGTAGTCTCTGCTCTTGATTGGCTCTTGGCTTCCTCTCACACTTGGCAACCCTGCCCTGGGGCTGCCCCCACATTCCTGCAGCACGGTCTCCAACCTGCTCCACCGTGACACCAGATGGGCATCTGACAAGCCCCTGTGCCCAGAATCCAGGACCCTGACCTGCCCCCTCCAGCCGTCTCCCCTCTGAGAGTTCAAAGTGTCCTAACTCCAGAGTAGTCTGACTCTCAGCTCTTCCCTCCCCTGCCCAGGTCTCTCTCTGTTTAAGGTATCACCACCCTGGGGCTGTTCCTCACCCCTGCCTCACCCCTGCCTCACCCCTGCACCCCAGGCAGCAGGGCCCATCCATCCTGCCACTCATCAGCATCCGTCTCCCTGGCCTTCCCACTGCCCTGGCTCAGGCCTCATCAACCCCCACCCGGCTTCTCCACCCCAAGTCTCACCCTCTCACCCATCTTTGGCTCCCCTGGGTGCCTGGTGCTTGGGCAGCACTGGCTGAGCCAAAGGATGGATTTAAACCAAAGGCTTTCGAGTAAGAAGGTCACCCAGCTCATCCCTTCAGCTCACAGTGAAATGTTCCGTCCAGGTGCCCATCCACCTAGCCTGACCATCGGGGCTGGGGACACAGAGGGGCAAAGGTCGCTGATGTAGGAGTCAGGGGGACCTGAGTTCACATCCTGACCCCGGCAGTTACTTGCCACATGGCTATGGAACAGCAAGCCTCAGTTTCCCCATCCACAAACTGGAGAAAACGGCAGCATGTCGCGGGTGGCTGGGAAGGCTGGTGGGATGGTCACGCACTGCTGTCGGCCTGCGGCTGGGCTGCCTGAGGACTCGGCGCAGCCCACCTGGGCAAGAACGCAGCAGCTGGGTGGGCTTTCATTTCATTCAACATTATCTCTGTTTTGAGCTTCACACCACTGGGCGGGGGAACCTCAGGCGAGTCAGTCCATGGGCGGCAGATACCCTCAGCGCTGGGAATGTCACTTGTCCATGCCTGTGTTCCCGAGGGGTCCCCAAGCATGCTTGGTCTTTGCTGGGGTCCATGCAGGTGTTTGCCGTGTCATCTCCTCAGTAAGGGGCCCTCGGGTTGAGTGCTCCCCTCATGCCCCTTGGTGTTCGGGTCACTGCCAAGTCACTCTGTGCCTGTGGAGCAAGTTCGGACTCACGGGCCTAAACATGCCTGGCAGTCCCTTTCCCCGGGTCCCATCATTGTCTGGGGCAGCAGCAGAGCCTGGAAGGTGAGAGCCCCAACTCTGGAGCCCAACAGTTGGGGTTCAAGACCCGTTCTGCCTCTGCCTCGCTGTGCGACCTGGGGCATGTTGCTTCGCCACTCTGAGCCTCACTCTCCTCACCTGTAAGGTGGAGTGACACCACAAGATGATGCACATGAAGCCCTGGCCTGGTGCTAGGCATGCAGTGAACGCACACTAAATGTTGGCTGATTCCACTAGGTGCCATCCCTGGAAGTGGAAACACGAGCCCGGTCATTCCTGGGTCCTTCCTCCCCCTGTGAGACACACGGCCCCCGGCCCAGTCAGGTGTCGTGACCTTTCTCTGGCTCTTCTCTTGTGCATTCTCTCAGTCCAGAGTCTTTGAAACTCCACCCCCTCCTTTTGTTTTCTGCTGTAATATCCCAGAAAAGTAGAAAAGTGAGTTTCAAATAGCCTTGTCTAGTAGCATCATCATCACTGTGGCCTTCAGGGACGATCAGGGCTGATGGGAGATAATCTGCCCCCCTATACTCAGCAATACTCCATTCATCTGGGTAGGCCCCGGGGCGTGGTTGCCAGCTCCCAGTGGCCCCCGCCTGCCCTGCCCAGCCCCCAGTTCCTCCCCTGTACGGGTAAGGAAGCTGAGGCCCGGGAAGGGAAGGGGCT